ATGAAGCCCCCTTCCCTAAGTAATGGGCAGGGGATTCAGCCCCCATATTCCACAGGTGTCCTGAGATTCACATGTATCTTGGGATATCCACAGAAAAGGCAGAAATATCTGTCTGAAGGACATGGGTATGGCTCCCCCATTCTCCAAGATATCACAGCTCAGGAGATATACATTGTTTTCACTCTCAGCAATGGCTGCATACAAATTCCCCTAAGGGTGTTTGTGGTGCAGCATCAAAGGCCTGTTTCTGCTTGGACCCCTGGAGAGCATATAGCAGTGTATGGAAGTTGCCCTGCTCCTTTCTACCTCCACTGCTCTCTCACTACTGCCTGTTTGGTGGGTCCCCAGGTGCAGTGAGCTACCATCCACTCCATATGTTCCCCACTGTGGTCAATTTCAGTTTCTAAACTGGCAGTGTAAATATCAAATATTTGGCTGTTGCATATCTTGGCTAATCTCAAACCAAAGTAGAGCCTTCTGACACACTATATGTCTTACGTGCATCTGACAAAGTGGGTATTCACCCACGAAAGCTTATGCTCCAATACATCTGTTAGTCTTAAAGGTGCCACAGGAGACTCTGTTGCTTTTTACAGATCCAGACTAACACAGCTACCCCTCTGATATATGTCTTACAGTTTGCTAAATCTTTCAACAACAGTACATTTTGCTTTTCTATTGCACCTTCCATCCAAGCATCTCAAAATGTTTTCCAGGCATTAATGAATCAGACCGATTAATGAATAAGGATTTTACAAGGAAACTGTGACAGAGACAGGTTAAATGAGTTGACTAAAGTTACAAAGCAAGCCAGACATGGAGTTGAGAATATAATCCCTGCTTCCTGATTCTTGCCTTTAATTGCTCAACAACACTCCCTTGTATGTATAATATAATTTTAAAAACCATTTCAATCTTCTTTGTATAGCTCATTTAAACCAACATTTCTTCCCCCACCTAAATTTAATTGATGTATATTTTCACTGAGGAAAAATAATCAGTGTATGATATTATTTTCACTTTAAGATTGTTTGCAGGGCTAAATTGTTATGATACATTATTTAATGTAACAAGATTTTTTGATGATGCCACAAGAATTGTTTACACTCTAGTTAGTGTTTTCAAAAGCTAATAGACTATATTATCCTGTAATAACAGACCAATTATACATCTCTTTTAGGCAGGATATTTTTCTCCAAAATTTGCTTTTATAATTATACACACCTCCATTAAGACTGCAGAGTATATTCTCAATAAATGGAAAGGATTCACTAGAGAGAATACTTATTAAAATGTGCAGGCAGTTCTGCATTTTAAAAAGCAAAGCTGTACTTCTCAAAGCCTTCTGCATCTACAGAATATAAATATTGAGTAGTACATCAGGTATTTAAATAAGCCAATCACAAAAGGATTTTTAAAGCTTATTTTATCTTATGTTATTTCTTTTCTTTGACTCCTTTCTTTATTGCTCCTTAATTCTCTCTGTTTCCCCCACTGTCGCTCCAGATGTCTCACTCTTTCACTTTGCTCTTCTAAACAAATCATACTCTTCTGTAGTGACATTCTGCTCCTGAGTATGGTCTCATTATGGCACGGACAATACTAGGATGAGAGCCATACTTGCTATCACCATGTTTAAACAAACTACATATATTTTTTGTGTGTCAGTTGTGGGTTGATGTTGTTTGAACATGGTTTCTCTGGAACTGAGTTTGAAATGTATTTAAACTCTGTTTTGAAGCCAGTGTAGACAGGACTTTCAATCCCAATATTGTATCCCCAATCTTTTGCGAAGCTTCCTCTTTTGGTTTCTCCTGTTCTCATTCAATTGCTTTACTTTTTCTATCAGTTCTGACTGTACTTCCTAGATCCCAATTTGGTATTATGTCGTGTCTCTTTCCTGTGTCCTTCCCTCATAATACGCCTTATTTGTCTCTCTGGGCACTATCGGTGAAATTCTGCCCACATTCAAATCAGTGGGAGTTTTGGCATTGACTTCAGTGGAGTCAGGATTTCATCCTACCTTCTTACTCTGACCGTGCTCCACTCTGGGCTCGTTTAAAACCTTCTTGCAGAGGTTCCTCTTGCCAAGAATTCAGTACGCAGGTTCTCCAGCTGATCAAGGAGATTCTGTGCTCTCATCTTTCCTTCCACAAAAGAAGACTCATGTGATATGAACCTGAACCCCTTCAATCAGGTCTGTCCCCTCCCTGATTCGGGATTTTAGGGCCACTCTACAATAGGCTTTTTTAACAAACCTCACCTATTCCAAGCTGGAGGTGAGGGGTGTGAGAAAAATCCAAGACAATTTGGAACTAACAAGACACTTGCAAAACTTCACTGTTCAGTTGCACTGCTTTTCTTGCTTCCTATCCCCTTCTTGTGGTCTCCTTGGATGGTAAGCTCTTTGGTGCAGGGACCGGCCGTTTCCTCATTTTTCTCTGTAAAGCATCTAGTGCGCTGCTGACACTATTTAAATCATCATCATCACAATCCATTGTCATAAAGAATACAGATCTCAATGGGAAGGTGGGGAAAAGACTTAGAGGGTACAGTGAATATTAAATAAGTCCTAAGCGTGCTATGAGATGTTGTTGCAAAAATAACCAGTGACATTCTCTGGCTATATGTCTTGTACAGAGGATTCTCATGCAAAGGAAAGTAATAACTGCTATACACAGCATTGATGCAACCACATTTTGGCAGAGACTGCACCATTCTGGAGTCACCACTACATTAATCCTAGAATAGACCAATGGAGGGAACTGAGGCACTATCACTGGAGCGGGCATTCAAAAGGAGGTTAGATAAAACTCATGTGGGAATGAAGTAGGGAAAAGTTTTGCCTGATGTGTAATGTCTGAATACTTGACTCAGAGAGTCTTTTTCATCCCTTCATTTCATGATTCTGTGGCACGCCAATTTAACGGAAATGGCCCCCCTCCTAATTTTTTTATTGTATCATTTTATTTTCAGACTAGACTTAAAAACAGAGGTTCTGGTCTGCATGGCCATTAACAACCCAGGACACTTTTCATAAAAGTATGGACTTTGTTCCGAAATGACCCCTCTCCAAACAGCTCAGCAGCATGCTGTGTGTTGATTTGTGGCCACTCTCCACCACGCAGGTGGCTGCATTTCAATGGAGCTAACTATTGTTTCTAAAGTACTTTCAGACCCCTTGGGAAGAAAGGTGCTGTATAAACGTTAGACATTTTTATTATTACCAACTTGTCAAAAAGTGAAACGGTGACATTTTCAGTTAACTTTTACTCAGCATGAAGTGCCTGGTTATCTTGTGCATATGAGCTTAATTAGGTGCTTATTAATATCACAGTATTGTGCAGGGGTGTGGCTAGAATGATGGTCCGTATGAGGCATCTCTGCAGCGGGTCCTCCTAGCTCTGCTCAGGGAAAAAGGGAGAGTCTGGAGCAGGTAGAAAGATTTTTATTTTTTGTTTGTTTGTTTGTTTTACGGATATTTTTCATGGAGTCTTTCAGTTCTAGGTCACGGGCTTGACTTCCACTCAGATCAGCAATGGCCAAAAATCACTACCCTCGGATGGCTGTTTGGTGGCCTTTGTGAAATTAGTTTGTTGTTTAAGAGTCCCAGAGGTAGCCACTTTACAAATAGCTCCTCAGTTGATGTTCATTGGCTAGATTAGTAGCATTCGCATCAGAGAGAGGCCAAGTATCTAATGGGACAGGGAAACTGAATTATTCCCTCTTCCTCAAGAAAAGCCATGGGGTACATTAGTGGGCTGGTGGGAGGCTGTGCCTGTTGCTGTACTTGTTTTGTAATGTCTGGTTGGTCTGCAGGGTTGTCAGTCCCTCACCTTTCACAAGCACCATTTTTTGTTCATATTTTTCAACATCTGCCTTTTTACCACAGAGGCATCAGAGCTTTGCAAATTGCACAGGCAGATATACGTCCACATTTATCCTTGGCATAAGCAAGTGCAACTCCATTGACTTCAGTGACTTTAGTTGAGGTGACTTCAATGGAGCTGCGTCTGCTTATGCCAAGGGTGAATTTGCCTCATGGAATGTGATACTGTTGACATCATGGCACATGGTGCACTGTTCACATACCTCAAAAAAGGGAGAATTGTTTCTGCCTTAACCACACGTTGATGTCACTAATATCTATGGTTTGAGATTAGTTGTTAGGGCTTTTAATAAGTTCTGTTCTGTAGTATGAAAATTATTTTCAAATGATAAACATTTGTTTCTTATATGTGTTTGAGTGATTAGATAAGCTCTCGGAATGTTACTGTTGTGTTTGAATGAATATTATCTGAGTTAGTCCATTTGGTAGGACAGTACAGTGGCTTTATTTGCCCCTGAAAAAGTGCATTACAGTTAAACAAATCTTGTGCTTCTTCTGCATTATAGGCAGAGGTTCAAAACTTAAAACAGTTCAACAGCCAGGAGTTACATTTGCAGAACAAATGCAATACGTTTCTAGATGTCATTGCAGACATCTTGATACTGTCCATTGTTTTGACAGTTAGAAATGGAATTTTCCTTATAGAAAGGTCCTATAATATTTTATATAAAATAACCTTTCTATATAGAGGTTTTTATACTAACCTACAGAATTCTAGATAGAATTTTCTATTGAATTTAGTTGTTTTTAAAGTAATTTCTATAGACCTCTGCTTAATTTCTCTGGAACGTTCTTGACTTCATCTCTATAAAATTCTACTGGACTTTCCTATAAAAGTTATCCCCAGAATGGACAATGACAGCATGAGAGACTTAAGGGTATTCTGAAAAGTTAATGAGGGACATTTTTGAGTATCTGACTCAGCTGCAATATTGTGTTATATTTATATTATATGTGTTTGTTTTATAAAAAAAACCCAACATAGATATCTTTTGAGCTCCAAACACATGGTCTTGAAACATACACAGCAAGGTCTGACTGAGACAGCAACTGTCCATAGTGACTAAAATGACAGTGATCTTTTGTTTTCTCTCTCTTTTATTAACTCTAGGTGTTCTCTGCCTGCCAGACAGTCTGAACCTTCACAAAGACCAACAAAGGTCAAATAAGCCAGGCGAAGTACAGATGTTTAGCCAATCGGAGTTAAGGACCATAGAGCAATCCTTGCTCGCTACCCGGGTGGGAAGCATTGCCGAACTCAGTAAGTGCAACATAATTTATGTTATTTTTTCCTCTTAAAGTAAAACAAAAAACACGATGTATTATATGTTTCTATAAAAGAGAGGCTGGAGCCTAGGAGTGCTGTCAAGGGAGACTTCTTTAATAGTGGGAAGAAGGAGGGCCTTGTTTGCTCCACAGCGATCCCACTGGTCAGTTTGGAAGCTGAAGGGTGGTACAAGGCCTTGGAAGAGAAGAGGGTGAGTGTGTAGATGATACTCACAAACATACAAATGACTCCATTAGAATTTCAGAAGATCCTTCATCCCCACTTTCTCTCCCCCCTACTTCCAGTGGGAGAAAAAACAAAATAAAACTTATAGAACACAAATCTGCTGCCTGGAAAATAAATTATTTGTTATTAATCAAACACTTTTGGGGCAATATGATAAGCTGCTATACCTGTCACAGTTCTAAAGCTTTGATTTCAGTACAAATACATTATTTACAGTTCCCTGAACACCACAGACCTGTTTTGTTGTTAGGACGCAAATGCTTTGTGAATCCTAATGCAATGTAAAAACTCAGGGGTTGAAGGTGCGTTTCTTTTTAGGGTTTCCCTGAAGGCAGAAACCTGATATCACATGTTTATACTGTATCCTCAAATTCAAATATTTAGCTGATTTGATAGCTCTATTTATAATTGTAGTAAGGGCTGCTTTGGAATGAGGAGCTGTAGCAGCACATTCCAAGATGGTGCGGAGGGTCTGGCAAATATATATAATAAATATATATATAAATATATATAGTTGACAAAAAACACAGACAAATTATTCTTCAGGGATGTAGCTGAAAAAAGGTAACCCCAAGCAGGATGGATTGATTAAAATCCAGGAGATTTAAATCAGCTATTTAAATCATTATTTAAACCACCAAGTGGAAAGCCTCAATTTCAATCAGCTTTTCTGTTTGTACTTCGGTTATTTTCTAAAGAAAGGGTGCATTGTCATTGATTAATATAACCATTAAATATGCTGATTTACAACTAAATGGAGCTTTTATATAGATTTGATACTTCTTTTTATTACATAACTATATACATTTATATATAGGAGAGTACACTATAACTATATACATTTATTTAAGCAATTATATAGCTTAACTTTTTCAGATTCTTATTAATTGTACATTTTTAGTATGTTAGAAAATGGTGACTGATATACTGCTTATTTGCTAGATAATTAACTTTTTGCTCATGATTTGTGTCAAGCGATATTAGGATAGTAACTGAAATTTAATTAAACCCACAAAACAGCATATCAAACTTATAAAATTAAAATTAAACAAAACAATCTTAAAGTTTTGGATACATACACTTCTCTTATCAAAACACGTCTAACATTTACAACTAAAAGATTAGAACAGATAGTAGACAATGTTTTCACCCCTCAGCTCGCAAACAGAGGGATTAACTGTAGTCAGAAAATTAAACTGATTATTTCAGGTCAGCCTGGAAAAATTTTCAAATATTTGTAAGTAAAAGGGCCTGGAGCTTAAGTTCCTACATTCCTAAGTCTCTTGAAAATGAGACAGTCTCCTAAGATACTTAGGCTGACCCATTGTGCCATATTTATAAAGCTTGACCTCAAAAGTTAGATGTTATTCCCCTGATTCTTTCTTTATATCGAAAAGCAGCCTCTAACTCAAAGTTTTTGATAGAGACTCGTACATTTAGTTTTATTTAAATGTTTTAAGAGACTATAATAAATATAGGCCTCAATATATTTTATATTACACTCAGGTTTCATTTTAAACCGGTTTATTTTTAAAAAGAAAAATGTATTATATTTTAAATAACAAACTCAAGAAAATTGTATTTAAATAAAAAAATCATTGATTTTTATCCACCCTGCCCTCAAGTCAATGGGAGCTGCGTGCAGATATCTGAATGCATAATTTGGTGCCTTAAGCATATAGATAGCATTCAAAGAGCGTCTCGAAGCAGGGAGCCAGTGCACCTCTCCTGCCATCATGTGAACACACGCCATAGAAGAAGAGTTAGTAGTGTGTGTGTGTGTGTGATATCTATATATATATACATAGTACCATACCAGGTCACAATACCCTAGGATCCAGACTCTAAATTTTGTGTATGTCCTAAATGTACACCAAACAAGAGGAAAGAGCGAGCCTGCAACTTCAATGTTTCTCAGAGCAAGGAAAGTGATTTTTTTTAAAACAAGGTGCTGGCAACCAAATTCTAAATGAGGATGATTATCCAGAGTTTATTTACATTGATCATTAATTTAAGTATCCAGAATAGCTAGCATGCAAAAATAGGCAGATGCCAAGGAAAGATGTCTCTGCTTTCACCTTTTCTGTCTCGAGTCAGGATGCCTTGCTGGGTGACCAGCTGTTGGGCTGCTAGTATCTTTGGGGCTAGGAAGAGCAATCTATCTCCCTGCAGGATGACTGCTGGCAAACTGAGCCCAATTACTGCCCTTTTTCTGTTTCCCTCTTCAAGTCACTAACTTTTGTATTTTTTTAATCTTTGCCTCTGTCCCAAATAAAACATAGAATAAAATATTTCCAGCCTAAACGGATCAAGTATGTTTTCTTGTCTAGTCTTCCATTTTCCCATTCCTTTGCTCCCTCTTTGTGTTTCTTCCACTTCCCTCTTTATACTCTCTCTCTTTTCTGGTTATTTTCGTTTCACTATCTCTCTCTTATTTATTTTTTTATTCTTTCTCGTCCTGTTTCTCCTGTTCTTTCTAACGAACCAGGTAACATTCCCTCCTTGTTTCATATCTTAACTATGAAACATTTTTGTGTCTTGTCCACTCTCCCTTGCTCTCTATTGTCCTTCCTCTTTACTTTCCTCTTGCTCTGCTCTCTTCCCCCCCCCCGCTCCCTCTCTTCCCTCATGCTGTTCTGTTCTTGCCATTGTTGTTCTGCCTAACACACTCTTGCTCTTCCGTTATCTGTTCCCCACTGCTCATTTGTGTTTAGTTGTCTCTCTCCCAAGATCTCTCATTGGTTGTAGAAGGGGAGGTGGGGAAGCTTGCTCTCTCATTGCCCAGGCTGTATCCATTGTGTGGATAAACATAAGACTTTAGTCTCCAGTGCTGTCAGTCCAGAGGCCCCTCCTCTGAGGGGGGATGGACCTTTCATTCTGGTGGGCTCATGCCACCTCTTTCCAGGATTTCAATAGTCCAGAGCCCCCTCCTTCATCTGAGAGGGCAGGGCCATTTGTCTTCTGGTGGGCTCCACCCACAATCCAATGATTTAAATAGACTAGAGCGTTTAACCTCTAAAGCCTTAAATGGCTTGGGACCTGCCTACAGAAATGGCTTGGGATCTGCCTACCACCCCACTTCCCATAACATACAGACACATGTATACTCAGCAGAGGTGCTCAAGCTGGGTTCCCTGGATTTACCAGAGGATGCTGGTTGCAGCGCATTTTTCACCAAGCTTCTGCCCTTGGTTTGAGACAGTCTGGGATTTAGGATATGTGGTAAGGCTTGTTCTTTTGCCCAGCCAGGCATCTGAAGACAGTGGGGCCTCATGGGGGGGGATTGTTTATGGGGGAATGGGCAGTTTAGTGGGGAAAGCCCTACCTATTGGGTTCTGCTGGGGAGGGCTTGCTGGCATTTTTCTGTCAACTTGATGCTAGCTTTGCTTTGGTTGTTTTTTTATTTTAAATAACGCTAAAAGTGCCCAGAGTTGCAGACGACTGCCTGATCAGCTGTATTCTAAATGGAAATAAATAAGACTCTTAGCACGGAGTATCTGGCCAGCTACCTCCTCCATTCTACTACACCTTCTAATTTTGTATGAAATACTTTTGTGGACTTCTTGTCATAATTGAGACACCTGTTCAATGCTTTGCCAACTCCACATTTCTGGAAATAGCCAAATCAGGCATTGTAATCTGTCAGGATCTGCTGTCTCCAGAAATGTTGATCTGAGTACAGGTTAACTGTGGTGCTTTTCAGTCCTAAAGATTAGGAGTGTATCCACATGCTCTCCGTTCTTGGGGAACACGAACCCCTCTAGGCAAGTTCATCAAAAGAATGGGACTGCCAGGGGAATTGTTCAACCTCTGTTTTCCCCTGTAATGCCCTTTAACTTTAACTTCTCAGTCCTGTAACAAGAGACACTGGCTAATGCTTAGAGCTGTCTAAAAACTATAGCTCCCAGACCAAATGATTATTATCATGTATTTTTTTAGTGTTATATGTGTGCAGTGATCTGCAGAGAAACTTAAAAAGATGAGCTCCTGCCTGATGGTGTCTACAATTTAAGTTAGCTGTAGCACAACAAGAGATAAGATTTGTGGGGGTGGGGAAGGTAAGGAGCTAAGAGAAAGATGAGAGTTACAATTGTAAAAGGCCATGTACAGGCGCCCATGCTTAATAGTTATGCGACCACATAGAGGGCAGCATATTTTACCTTTTCATCTACTTGCCACATAAATTCCTTTGTGCTGCATAAATCCACCAAGACTGGGATTGGGTAAGGAGCCTATAAGCTCTCATTGCATTTCTGTGGGTGTTGGGCAACTACAGTAGCTGTTGTAGTTTTCTTTGAAAATCCCACCCCAAAATGCTGCCACCTCCTGCTTAGTAATCTGTCTCCACTTGCCATTTTGCCTTCCTGCTTTTCTTCCTCTGGCGGTTGCAGGAGTCAGAAGTGCACTCTGTACTCTGTGTGATATGTGGGTAACAGATAAAGGGCTCTTTCAGATGTGCAGTTTGTTTCCCCCTCAATTGTCAGAGCCTTTCTCTGTTGACCTTCAGGTCCTGTTGTAAAACCTGTTTGTTCTCCCAGGGATTTTGGGGTGGGAAGGAATGAGTAGGTGGGTGGCTCACTAAGATGAGCTTTCTCTAAGGACACATTGGGGCTTGGGAGAGTCTATTACTGTTTAGGACATTGGTCCCTGGATGGCTGTGTTTTTAATATTATTTGTATATGGTCCCAGAGGGATGGGAATAGATATATTTAATTGCAATAAATGAACAGACATATTTTTGCTGCATA